TAGGACTCTCCGCTTAATGCGCCTGCCGCTTATTAAGCCCAATTTGGTCTGGCCCGAGGTGGGCTTAATAGCCGGCGACTACTGTACCAATTTTTGATCTGCAAAGCTTACTGAGTGATACTCAATATGGCGAAGGACGCTTTTGGAAAGTGTCAAAATTTCTTAGGTTTTGAATTAACTGAGCTGCTGAACAAGGACCAACTAACGATGTCCTCCATGATTTAACTTCTTACCACAGGTGCAAGCAAAAATCATATTTATTAATATGTCATAATTGATAGAAGATTAGGACACTTAATAATTTCTAAAATATAACGTCGGTAAGCAACGAACGCTTCTTTCAAATTAAGTAGTTTTCTTGAGAACAAAGATAACTCAAGCAACTACTCGTGGAACATTTAGATTATTTATTTGGAAAGGTGTCGTACAAATTTGCCTCTTCTCCAATTTGCTCGTAAGATACATCTGTTTAGGATCTTAAACGTCGACTTTAGAAAATTATTATATTAGCAATCTTCTTTTAATCTTAAGATGACAAATTCCTTGGTCTTTTTAAGGCTACATGTCCCTTAATTTGTAAGCCGACTTATTACGTTGACCTTTCTTGCTTCGTAATCAGAATGGCGAATTCTTAGCTTTACTTGTATACGCTGCTACTGATTTTTACTTGTCTCTGAAAATTACTTCATATAGCTTAGCTGTCCCTTGCCGAATGCTATTATAAAATAATAATGGTTGGTTTATTTTAGAAGACGAGTATTTATGGATTTTTTAATCTCAGAACTATTGAACTATAGTTCCCAAATAAGGCAGTTGCATGTAGTTGCTACAATTAGCAATGTTATTATAGCGGTTAAGCGTAATACACAGAAGTCAAAATATACTGGGCATTTTAAAAATTCAGATTAAATTTTGAGTTTATATTGCGCTAAGTTTTTACATTCAGTTCATATTTGAGGCAAGCGTTGCTTACAAGCAGGGCGAAGTCATGGTAAATAAACAGAGCATTCGGTGTGAAGATTTGATTACTGAAGATAAATTGACGAACATACGTTTGTTTTCGATAAATTCTCGTCAGGCCTTTACATTTATATGGTAATGAAATAAATAAACTATGCTTGTTGGTGGACAGATGTAGTGTTATTATTGTCAGGGTCGGTGGGGAGGGGAGGGAGAGGGTGGGGGAGAGTTGGGGAAGTTGTGGTCAAAATGTCAATCTCTAGACGGTCCGGCGTTCAAGACGGGTGATAAGGTCTGCGTAGTTGGATTTGGGACCTGCTCGCCTCTGTAGGGGCCTGTTCACGAGGCCTGTGGTCCGCCGTGGCCGGTCGTGTTACCTAGATTCGCCCATGGCAACTGCGGTGCCGTGACGAAATTCTTTTGGGCGCACAGCGTCGGTCAGCGTAGCCTGATGGCGGCCGCCTCTGCCGTCCACCAACCAGCACAGTTTATTTATTTCATTACCATATAAATGTTAAGGCCTGAAGAGAATTTATCGAAAACAAACTTATGTTCGCCAATTTATATTCTGAAATTTTCAATGATAATTTTCGCAGATTTAATTACACTTAATATTTGCCTTTGAATATTGAAAAAAAATATTTTCATCTTATTGTACGGCTTTCCTGTGGTCTAGACTTTGACAGTATTTCCCGTCCTATATGACGATAGAAATTAATTATGAAATTTTTAACTGCGGTCGAAGTTGTGTGCGGACAAATGCATTATGAAGATTTATAGAAAGAGTTCGAATAAATTTCCACAAACCTTTAATATAACCGACACTAAATTATCCCGCCGTCAACTTTGGGCAAGGACCAGTGGGCCAAAACAGTAACGAATTTAAAAACAAGTAATAATATATGCACGCTATACATCACCTTTGCACACAGCAACACGTTTACTCAAATATTCGCTTGATAGAAACTAAAAAACTGACAAGATATGGCGTACTGAACTCTTTAGCATTCAAATATGTCCATGTTAGAGTTCAAAGGAGTTCTTATGACACACGAGTTCGTGGAAACTGGACAGAAAAATTATTTGGACAATCTCCTGACTGAAGTTAACATCAGAACCTAAGTTAAATAGATTAAAAGCGATTCTTTGGCAGATACAATCTTGCGAGAATCTATACTACTTTTGCTACCAATTTTTGAAAAACCAGCACTTTGACGAGATTTCACAGTTTCCTCTTAGGTTTCTGTGATACAGCATTATTTTTTATATCTCACAACGTTATAAGGCTAGTGCTTTACACAAGGCATTCGCATTCCTGACAAAGAGTAGAGGCCTGCAAACTTAACACTTGACTGCATCCAGAAACATGTACACAAACATTTCTTAGGGAAGAGTAGACAAACAATTTCCCTTGCTCATACTATTTTTCTGCAATTTCCTGCTATGCCGAGGGATTGTAAGGCGATTATGAAAAAAAACCTTGCTTCGATCCGTAAAAAAAAACTTGGACAGGGTTATTAGTTGCGTAACGTAATAACTCCCCCTTCTCTAAATTTAATCCAAAGAGTGACGCAAACGGACTCGTTTTTTAGTATTGCAATAAAAAAGTACAATTAAACCGACGTTAATGTGACAGAGATTAATTGGCGAAGAGCATAACGTAAAAAGCTGTCTTAACGAAACCTGAGAGTAAAAAACTAATAAATCTTTATAGGTGTGAGTCAACTCGAGATTCACAGGTTATTTTTGGATAGGCAAAGGTTTTGGGAAATTATCGGCAAATGAATATCTGTAGTTTCAAGTACACGGAATAGAATGGATATCGTGAATGCATACGCGAGAAACGTACTATAGAGCTGTTGAATTTCTAACTTTCGGACTCATATACCATTAAGGATAATTTTTGAGATGGAAGGTTTCGTATAAGTTAGTCAATACTTTGTCTTAGGTTAACAAAAGTAAGAAGTTGTGCGTAGACGACAACGCTCTAACACAAAATTTGACTTGCTGAATTCTACACAAAAGCCAATGTTGACGGACAGGCCCTATGCAAATCAAAGTCGAATTGTGTAAATAAAGTAGATGAACCTCTGGTTTAAACACTCTAGTTGTGTATACCCCTACAGAATATAAAACATGTTCATGCGTCAGTCTGTTATTTTTTGTATACGTAGGACAGCAATTTACGAATAGCATATCTATATGCAGTGAATACTGGCTTCGCCACAACTTTTTGAATTTGAATGACATTTCGTGAAATTCCAAGTATCAAAAGGGTAAGAAGGCAAATCTGCAAAATTTAGGAAATTCTTGAACACACGATCTCATACCAAACAAGTTACTTTAAAACATGCTACTGGATAGCAGGGGAAATAAGAAGGAATGCTTTCCAGTAGGGACGATAATGTAATAGAAAGCTATGAGTGATAGCTACTTCTATCGCTGTGGTACAAACATATTCAATTTTGTTTTCTAGAAAGAAAACGCAATCTTCTTGACAACTCTGAGTCTAGAAGATGAGTGCGGACACTGGCGAGATCCCGGAACAAAAAGATGTGCCCCCAAACAAGCCAACTGAGTCCAGCACCACCATAGTTCGGGCAAATGGATCGATTCCACGTAAGGCTTTCGTAGGATTATGCAACGTACATTTTGCGTGATTAATAACAGTAGCTGAGTGCAAAATTTTTGTATCCAATAGAAGAATTTTGGCATCACGAATCATGCAGCTCATATTGGATTCGTTTGTGAAATTTAACTTTAAGAAATTGAGGTTTCACTCAGAGAAGGCAGGGTCAAGTGCGCGCAGATGAGAGTAAGGTTTCCATGAGAGACTTTCAGCTCACCAAATATAAGTATAAATATATAAATATAAATATATGTATATAAATATATAAATAAAATATAAATATATATACAATGTATATAAATATATTATATACATACAATATAATAGATAAGGCAAATATTTTTTCCGTTTTGCGTGGTCCTACGCATAATTCCAAGGACGGACAAGTTTCCCGTGATCTGACCCCTAATATTAGTTCCAGCATAATACTTCACCGTAGCTCCAATCCTAATCCTTACCTGAAAGTTAATATTGATTAGAAACTTGACCCTAAACTGAATCCTAACCTACCTTCGCGCCAAATTTCAACTTGACCCCCGCCCTAATCATAAGCCTAACACAATTTCCGTATAACTTTGTACGAAAGAAATTTTAGAGAGAACAGTTCTTTTTCTCATGCCCTATTAAGGGGCGCTATAAGTCATTCTGCCCTGGTGTCTTCGCCTCTTACAGGTCTTCTTTACCCATTCAAGTTTATTGGATGTGATCGCAATTTTGTCCTGTCAATCTCAAGCATGTTTCGATTAATATCCATTTAAGAAGTGTTCTTATCTGCAAATAAAGGGTTCATATTTCCACAGGGGGCGTTTAAACTAGTAAAAGTTTGACATGATAAGAGTATGGTGCCCAGGTAATTTTTGGTTAGATTGATTTAATGAGCTAAACTATAAACCTCTATTATTGCCTTTTAAAAATTAACTATAAACCTCTGTTATTGCTTTTTAACAATTCATTCAACCAATATTTTTGAATTAAGTAATATAGCAAGTATAATGTGCTCTCATAAGGGAAATTAGCTGAGAAAAAACTCACAAAAATATAATCTGAGCGCGCAAAAATATTGTTGAATAAAATGTAAAAAAGTAATAGTAATTGCGATATTATTGTTTTGCACTTCTGTTAAACCCATTCCTTTCTATCTTTCGTGGTGGGCTGTAACTTTGCTCATGTAGACAAAATTGTTTGTTGCAGTTCTTTTGAATTTTCCTCGGAGAGTAATCTCCACGTTGAAATAGGTCAGTAGACTCGACGGTCTCTAGGCGCAGACCGAAATTGAAATTGGACCGAACACCATTAATTATTGCTGGGTAACCACTTAATATTCACAAGCTGCCAATAGACCACCAAGAAATGCGTAATTTTTAACCTACTTACAGCACAGGTTCAAGCTAAGCTGACAGCTGGACACGTTAGCTAAGCTAACGCAATCAAAACTAGGAAAGAATCCTATGGTAGATGACCTTTGTAACAGTGCCACAAAGGAAACGCGGGGCACTGTTTTGCTATATAAAGAGGGAGGCACAGAATTTCTCCCCCACAACTTCACACTCTTAAATAGCTGCATTTTCGTGGGGGACACAAAGGTAAAGATGAAAACTCTCAGCGAGGACTCAAATGCTTAATTTTAGATCGTAAAACAAAACATTCTCTCAAGGTAATTAGAGCTTTTCTAATACCCATCCAATTTTAGTTTTGATTTGTCCAAGGTTATTTTGTGTTGTGTTACATCGCAGGATTCACAAATTATTTAAATTTTGGGCTAACACACATTTGGTGTCGCGCTTCGCTTGTCACGCAGAACACCCATGAGCAACACTGCTGTCAGTATGCGCCGCAGGTTTTTAAATTCCGCCGTTAATACCGTGGATTAGCGAAACATAATTGGCCTCGTTCACGCAGGTTTGGCAGGCGCAACGAGTTGCGATAAGGGGATTAGCTTTAACCTCAAAGTCAATATTAGATTGCAAAACACTCGTTACCAACACCCATTCAGGGTATAACAGCAAACGTTGACAAAGAAGGAACCAATCAATTCTGCTTTAGTTGACGCCCGTAGACAGTTAAACTTTAACCTCACTTCATAAAACTCGGAGACCACATCAAAGGCACTTATTCATCGTGAAGTGCGCGAACTATGCTATCCCTGGGCAGCAGACTGACTTCCGGTAGACTGCTTTCAATAATTTTACAAAGGCAAATGGGACTAGAGGTCAGGAAGGTATCCTAATTGAAGGCTGAAGCGGATATCATCTGCCTACTTTGAAGCGCGGCCTCGCAGATTTCACGTATCTGAAGTGAACATTGTGCCAACCATCACGCAACTGGCATCAAGTCTCGCACGACTCCAGACGCCACAATCGTTGCCTTGTAGCTCAGAGAACCCAGTGCACACAACTCCAAACAAAACCGAAGAGAGTATGAGCTAGCAGCGCTGGTAGCGGGACACTAACCGATCGCGTTACGGGAAATGCTCGTTGCATTCTGCTAGCAACCACACAGTAACTAGAAGTCCAGCCAGAAATATTAAAAAGGCGAAGGAAGGGGGAACTGGAATGGCTATTTATGTCCTGTTGTCCGCCATTGGCTAGCCACGACCAACTTCAGGTATTGCAACACTTGCGGCTGGAACCCGCAAACGCCGTTGAACCACGGGCGGTCGGTTGCGATCGGTTGAATTAACCATAGTAACGGGACACGCAAATACTGCTACGCTTTCTAAATCAAACTAGAGGCCCATCAGCTGCCGCATATCGGCTAATAATTATGATCCTGTCAATAGAATTGAATATGCGAGTTCCAAGAAGCAGTTCAGAAGAAGAAGCGAAAGCAACCACTGGAACAAGAATTTTGTCGTCCTTGCGTTTCGGATTCCGTCGGTAATCCTTAATCGGAGGTAATCGTAGAAAAGTCTGAGACAGGCGCAGATAAGGTCTGCCATTCCTAGTTTACCGATCGTAACTAATAAGACGAGCTCGTGGATTAATAGTTAGTGCGTTTATTTTCCAGTCAACAGCACGCTGGTTCGAGTCCTAAAGATTCTAAGGTTATGGCTGGCTGATGTCGACAACTAAGCCAGACAGTCTGCCTAGTCTTTGTGAGAAATGCTATTCTAAATGACCTGAAGCAGCCAGCAAAAAGTTGATGTGTGATTTGATCATCTGGACTAGAAGAAATAGGGAATTAATTACAGGTATTTGCTTCATATATTGCGATATTTTTATATGGGAGAGGGTAAATTAGCCCAAATTTGACAAAACAAAGGGTCAGGATTGGGCCTCATAGCTAATGTCTTTGGAGCTCATCTTTCTCTCTTACCAAAATGACAACCAACGGCGCTGCCAGAGCTTTTACTACCAGTTAACTTTTATACAAACGTCGTTATAATGCAGTCTGAAAGTGCCAACCCCGAAGGAATTTATCAACAGCTTTTCTAATCTTTCTGTATTGCAGCTGGCGGTATAATTGCTTCGTGCATTGTTGCAAAGAGTCCGCCGACGGAGATTGTGAACAGTGTTGTGACAACTGTGACTAAAACGGATTCCAGCGGAAAGTTACTTCAAACACGCACCACAACAACCCGGACCACGCGAACAACTACAACAGTGCGTCGAGTCTGTGTGGTAGCCCCCAAAGACGGTGCTCCGATCACTTTAGACCCCGCAACTATTGCCTCTGGGCAGCAGGGACCACTGGCGATCTGCAATTTGCCAAAGACCGGGGATACCGGCGTGGAGGTGACTGGCTCGCCACCCGAAAACCTGCCTTCTGACACACAGCTCGGTTTATTCCCACTTCCGACGGACAAGAACTTTCCCGTAGTTAGATTTGCCCAATTTTCCGACGCAAATGCCGAAACTACACCCACCAACGTCACTCAATTCGCCTTCATGGAACCACAAACCAGCACTTCAGAGATAGTTGAGGTAAATATCCAACAGAGCCTTAGTTTGCACGTAGTCTTTCGTACTGATGTAATTATTATGCGTTTTACCCTAGTGAATGTCAATACATCCTTACCAATGCCTGTTGGATGACGCGGCTGTTGCTGATGCTCAAGACTTCGACAATTTACAGTGAACTTAAGGCAAAATGCAATTAACAGGCCGTTTACATCCCTTACTTTAAATACTAACATCTACTAACATAAAAGCACAGGGTAAGGCAGGGCAGTAACCCTCTAAGGTGTAAACTTCGTGCATTTTCATCTTTTTCGCATTTACTTTTTACCCAAATGTAAACCAATTCCACTTACCCCGGACGATGCAGTCATCAGTCATGAATGTTACTTGCAACAGCGTACACTGTAGTTGTGACGGTTTTTTAAAGTGAAATAATGCGCACGGAAATGCACAGACTGCTTTTCCTGGTGGACTTTGAGCTAAGTATAAGCCATAATCTGTTTAGCGAACACAATAAGGAAGAGGATTGAAAAAATATGCCTACTGAGGAGATACTTTCCCTCTTTATAAAACAGAAGATGACGACCATTCAAAACTTGACGTTGTGTGAAATACGCTTTTAGCATCTTCACATTGGGGACAGTGGGCTTTAATTATTTAATTCTACTGATGTTTTGGAATTTTGGGGGCCGTTTTGTCCTTTAAGTTAACCTTTCCAGTTGACGGTCATTTGTGAGAGCTGACGTAGATAATGTTTCCTGCAATTGGAATAGCTTGTAAACTTTTTAGTCACGAGCTAAAAATGCATTTGTGACAGTTTATCTATTCCGAAGTGCTATTGTATTCCGAGGAATGCACCGGAAGTGCAAAATATTTTTAAAATATTATACTGACTGGGTTACCACTGTACAATAACTCTCATAATGACAATAATGTTTCCCTAACGAAGCTATATAAACACACACTCTGATAGAAAACAGCACCTCTTAGCCAAATTTGCCAAACATGATGACAACTCATCATAAGTATTGAGACAATTATAACAAAGCTGCAATGTGATACTTTTTTGGGCATATAATTCAGCCGCTGTTCCGCGTTGCAACTGTATTGATTGTAGCATTGAAAGTAAAGACATCTGCTTACCATTATGGCCAATAGACAATACTTAAGGCATATGGATTTAAAGAAATTAAAAACCTTACTACCAGCGCATATTTCTTACTTTTTATTCTTTAAGGCAGTAGTAGTTGAACAACTACGAATTAGACAGTAATGCGTTCGCTACCCCGACTATCACCACATCTAACACCGGTAATAATCCTAATACTATTACTAGTTCGCCTGCTTCCACTACGTCATCTTCGCCTCTACTCTTTCTCCTATTCCATCTTCGTTTTCTGCTACAATAATAATTCACTGTCATACTATTTTTCCATCATTAACATAACCATGTGGTCACATCAATACCGTCAAATCACTTTTTCTGGAACATTAATGAATAGGAAAGTATATAGAACAGTAAAGAAATCATTTTCTGTCACGCCTAGCCCCGCGCTCATATTAACATGAAAAAAATAACCCACGTGTTTTCGTTTGCGTTGTGGCCTAATCTCAGAACAGGTGCTGTTGTATGTACTCAGCATAATATTTGTCTAAGGGCTAGCAGGGTAACAAGTGAATTTACGGATTGCAAACGTCATTAGATAAATTGTGCCATCATTATCAAGTTTGTTGACAGCAAGTGCAGACACTTATAAACGATGTGCTTTCTAAAAGGGCCATGCTCGTCATTCGTTAAACAACTTGTAACCTTGCAGTTTGCCGAGTTCAACTTAAGATAGGTTATTAAGAATAATAACTTGATAAGCACATTTTTCATCTCTTAAGTAAAAGATTGCAGTTTATATGCAAACAGAATAAATACGTCTAAGAAAATTGCCCCCTGTATTATCATCGAAAAGGAAATCTTACTCAAAACTAACATTTTTTTTCCGAATCTGAATAAAGTGCTAACGGAAACTTAGCACCTCCAGTAAGCAGATCCAAACAAAACATCCCCTCAGATATTCCGAGAACACAGGTTTAATGTGCTGACATATCATCCGTCAAACAAGAAAACTCGTGAAAAGTGGACATTTATTTTTAAACACATGGTTAGCCTAATCAACACTGCAGTGGCTATAATTCATCTCTGTATGTTTAATTTTCAATAAGTATATTGTGATTCATTGAAAACACCCCCATTTTTATCAATCGACTATTCAAAGAAAATATCAATTTTTATCGGCTAGCTTCAATAGTGTGAAGAAAGTCTTGCCCCTGACATGGATTATCAAATGCATAATTACTAATTAAATTATTTAAAAACAAACCTAAAAAACTCCAAACTGTCGAAAGCCTGTAAATTAATGTCAGCGGCTCATATTAATTTTAAATAAGGGTCATGTTCTTCAGTTGCGGAGTTTATCGAAAATGCTCGAGGTTTTCGTCGCGGGAAATTAATTTTTAGTTTGTTAGTTTACTAGGAAAGACATAACTTCGCACAGAATATTGAACTAGGAATTGACTTTTACGCTTCATTACCCTTATTTGTGTAAATATTTGTCTGCTGTATTCTACATTTATCCACTGACCGCCCCTGAATTACCGTTATTATTTTTAGTTAATGTGCTAATGTACTTATGTAATTATTTTTGCAGCATACTATTGAAAATAATTAACCAAACATAAGTTTTATCATTGTTAAAAGCTTGAGCAAAATATCGTAGAGATATAGACATTACGCAGTGGATACTGGAGCATTCCATGTCCATTAATAATATATATTGGATCGCATCTATCAGAATGTTGGCTGCAGGTAATTAGTATGCGTATATACTGCATTATGCATTATTTGCATAATCATGCATCATTGTGTTTTTCATCTGTTAAGTTAGAACTTTACATCTCTGCAAAGCATAAATCTAAAATTTTTTTCGGAAAACGTTGTCTTTTTGTATGGCTATGTCTTAATGTTAAATCTTTAGTTCTTTTTACATCTCAATGAGCTATTAAGTCATCTGCACGAAATCCTAAAAATAACAGAAATTTAGTCATCGTATACCTTTGTTAATGGACACATCTTAAGAACCAAAGCCACGTTTAACGTAGTAGTTGATAGCAATTGTATTTTTAGAATCGGTTGGTTATATTTATTTGTCGGAATAGTGGTCAGATAGGCTTACAGTGTTATTTTTCGAGTCGTTGTCATTTTACAGTCAGCATTCAAACATACTCTTTATAGGTTCATAACCATTATTTTTCATTCAATAATGGCAATGTATTTTATTCCGATCTTTTGATACTAGATTTGATAGTCCAAAAGCTGATCAGCATTAAAGTACGAGTGTAGTCTTGTTTGGAAAAACAATGCAGTTTTCTGTAAATGCAGTTGCCTGGAAAACGGTTTATTTAGCCTTTTTCCACAACATGGTTTGTTAATAGAGCTTATTGAATTTGCAGACAATTGAATATTCAGAAATTACTTACCTTTACCGTTATTTAATAAACAATTAGTATTGTTTACTTATTTATACTTTCGAATCTAGCCTGCTTTATCCAGCAATATCCCTATATATGTTAATGGTTTCAGGTCCAAATGACGATCTGCGTTATTCTTTTTTAAGTTTTACATGGGCAGGCAAATGTTGTCATCCTCTTCTGCATGCTTTAAGCCATCTCCGTTATATAGAATATCAGGCTTTCCACACTTCTTCAAAGGTTCTAAAAACTTTCATTCTTGATAAATCAGTTGTGGCCTATTTGGCCAGAGTAATATTGAAGACGACCTATTTACCCAGAAATGACATCTATCGCGTCTTTTGGGTGCTACTTTGGCTAAGATATTCGATTCTTCCCTAGACATATCATAAAACTATATAAAACCCATTTTGTTTTAGTCAGTAACTAAATGTCCGTCTCCTTTTTAAAAATGAAATAGTGAAATGAAAGGATCTCTTACTTGTTTAAGCGTAACCAATATTCATCAAACCTCTGCCAGAATTACCAGTTTTGAAGAAAAATCCGTTTGAATCAGTTGGGAAAGATTACTCGGGGAGTAAAAATATATACTAAATCAACTTAACTCATGCATTTTTAGCATGCTTTTGAAAACTTTATGGAATATTTACACACAATCCCATGACCACTATATTCTTGACACATTCTTAACCGAAGTATAATGATGTTGCCAAAAGGTCTGCCTAGTAGGGTCAGTAGGATGTCACACGAAAATTTGCAAAAGTAGGGGTTGTGCCTTAATAACTTGACTCATTATGGTTCGTTGTATTTTGAATTCTCACTGTACTCTTTGAATATGAATATACTTTTGCCCCTGTCAAAGGAGACCGGAATGGTTTCTTAAACTGAACTAAGAAACGCATTTTCCAGAACTCTTTACGCATGCGTGAACATTTACACAAGCTGCAAATTTCTTTACCGCGAACAGCGTTTAATTTTTCGTGCATAGCAGAAACTAACGGTGAAGCGTTTGGTTCAAGTTTTGGTTAAAAACTTCAGATATGCACAAGAGATTGATAGCCAAAAGTAAATGTTCCCCATGAGCATTGCATATTTCTCGGAAATGTGTAGTTTATATAAGCGCATTTTACAAGTAAACTAAAGACATTCTCAATCTTGCGAAATATCGAAAATCCACAGAACGTCTCCTAAGGGAAATGTCACGAACTATCAAGTCCGCGAAAAGCAACTCACAAAGCGGTATAGAATTACTTTATACTTCGTCTCCAATCTCACGATTAATTCTTTAAACTTTCATAACTACTAATCATCTCCTGTTCAGCGATCTGCAGTTCAAACACGAGAGAAAATAGAATGTGATTTAACGATGACGTCTTTCCATTAGCTTTTCAGCAAAGGTGAAACGAAAACCTGTACGCTGAACGTTATCTGATTGTATACATCATGGGGGCTGCATAAAGATCTCCTATCAAATAGGATTTCAGCAGTGGTGCCACGAAAGAGAAGGTTTTCAGTCGAAAAACTCAATTAGCCAAGCTGTAGACATTCCCGTAATTAAAAGAGGAGATAACTTCCGCTAATTTGCGACAAGTTAAGAGTGACGATACGGCCTGCAT